AGGGAAGGTTGGGGAGCGGAGGGCGAGCGACCGGACGATCAAAGCGAGGGAAAGGGACGGGGGAGGGGGGGAGGGAAAAGGGGAAGACTCACTTGTAGAGTTTCCGTACCTAGACATTTTGTTAGCGACCGAACAAAAAGGCAAGTAATAATTCCTTGATCATGTTGATCAGGGCCGTCGGCATCGAGGCCGATACTTACAAAATCGCTGGAGTTGCCCGCGGGGGCGGCGCTGGTCGAGGTCTGGCCACCGTCCATCGTGGGCTAGATGGGTCGCGACCGATCGAACAAGCAACAGGCTCAACACGTCGCAGGGCTTCAAGAACGGCGTGGACGGGAGAGAGGAAACCCAACCAGTCGTCAATTTGGCCGGGGAGTTGGGCGTGGGCGAAAGGGAAAAGGGGGGACTGGGGGGAGGAATAAAATAATAATAATAAAACAAGATAAGAGGAAGAAAGAAAGAAGGGGAATGGAGAAAGAAAGAAAAAGACGACCGTAAGGTAGCAGCGGTGGTCGCAGAGATGGAGGTGGTGGTGGTAGGCTTTAGTTCGCCCGGGTGGTGGAAGGAGGAATGGGAATTAATTAGTCGCCTCCGTTTGGGTTTAGCCCGAGTCTCGCAGTCCCTCGGTGGGGCCCTGGGAAAGTTGGGTGGGTGACTGACTGGAGGGGAATACTACTACTACTACTACTATTACTCTTACGGGAGTACTCCAGTAGAAGAATAATAATCATAATCATCCCCAATGCCCGGTGCTGCTGCAGTGGGCTGATGGAGGCGTGGTGGATGCAAAAGTAACGCAGGCCAGCCAGCCAGCAATCAATCAATCAATCAATGGATGCATTTGGCCTTTCCACGGCTCGTGCCCATTTGGCAATCAGGTTCAAGGGCAACTGGGTCAACTGGCTATGAAGTGGATTCCCCCCCTCCTCCCAAGGACGTGGTGGTGGTCACTAGCCACAACTACCCGACGGTTATGTGTTTGTCTGTCGCGGTGTGTTCGCCGGGCTCTCGCGCGCTCGCTCTCTCGCTCTCTCTCTTCTTCCCCCTCGTTCCTCCCCTCCCAATTCCCACCCATTCATTTTGATCTGGCATTTTACGTTTTGGGTTTCGGGTATCCGGGAGCTTTTCTACATGCGCGAAATGTTTGGTGGATGACCGCAAGCAAGGAGATCCTGAAGAGGGGTAGACCAGAATTCTCCTGCTAAATCCAACTAACTCTTAGAGCCTCGGGGACTAACTAATAGGGAGGGACAACTCAATAATAATAATAATTAGACCCAACCTTCCTAACCAGGCCCAAAGGGGAATCCTCGAAGAAACCCAGCCCAGAGGAACCAAGTAAGGTAGCCAGCACCAGCAATGACGACGGTCCAGTGTCCCAGTGTCCACAACACAGCTTCTTCTCGCGGCACTCCCGGCCCCAAGCTGTCAGTGCGCCTGAACGATGCAGAACCACTGCATGCGAGAGGATGGGCGGGGAGGCATGGGGATAGGCTGCCTGGGGCGGAGGGGCCTTGGGTTTTACGCAGTGATCAACAACGGTCGTCATGGTATACGGAGTAGGGTTGGCGGGAGCCATGACCGTCTTGCCTTGCCTGTCCGTCCCCTCGGTCCACGCGGTAGACAGCAATAGATAATGGATACTGCTGACTGGAGCAGAATCCGACTGTATGTAGTATGTGTAAGAGAGTACGAGCAAGCATATGTGTATTATTGTGTGCTGATTGTCTCCCGGCCTGTTCGTCATCTACTTGAACAGTTCGCTAGTCTTTTCCCAGATGGATACTATGGAGCACTCCGTCTCTCCGAGGGCCCATCCGATGAGGGTCTTGTTTTCGGCTTTCGATGCAGATCCCTCGCTCCAATAGCCGACAGCGAGAGTATGGGGAACGAAGCACAAAAAGTCGAGCTGAGAACAAAGGGCGACGAAGCCCCAGCCATATCGTGCCCGAGCTTTCCCAGTTGAGTCACAACGATGTGATAGAGACTCGGCAGGCTCTTTATTTAGTACAAGGGGAGAGAGCTACCACAGGGCGGATGCGCCACCTCCCGAGCATCCTGTACTCGTCAAGGGAGTTGAGTACTATTCTTGCGACAGTGCCCGACTACTTTGTCGATTCCTCTCTTGCATCTCACCTTGATCACGCCCATTAATATCCAATCAGCCACGGTCTTGGATGGGAGGGTGTTTGCTGGAGTCCAGACCCCCTCGGGACCGAAGCCACCTGAATGTTGCGAACCCTTGCAGTATGATATAGACAATGCAGGCCAATCCGTCCGTCAGGCGGGAATTATGAACTGTCAGAGCTCGAGATCGAGACTGGTCCATGGAAGTCCGGAGGATATGCCCGCTGGGGTTAATTGATTGGTTGGAGGCGGTCTCATCTGAGCATCTCATCTCGCCCGGCACTCTGGCCTACATGCCGGGGCATCGGGACGACGCTGAGTAATGGGCGGTAGGGCCTGATTGGGTTATAACCCCCGCACTTTATTTCTCTATCCAGTATCCAACACAGGAGTAGTTCGCGGCCAGCCACTTCAACCTCAACAAGGGCAGTCACCGATATAACAGCCAGAAAAACAAAAAGAAAATGACAAGGGTGGGATTCGAACCCACGCTCTTTCGAAACAGTGTATCATATACCTGATAGGGCACCTAAAACTGCCGCCATAACCACTCGGCCACCTTGCCTGGAGATAAAAATTTTTGCCAATTTCTTACTCCATCACCCAATTGGTATTAAAGCGAATGCAGACCACGCTGCAGTTCAGGATCTCACATATCTAGTAGCCACCCAATTTGTACCATTAAACCACATGCTGCAATCCTCAGGCTGCAATATTCCCCAAATCCGCACTTCTCATAATTCACCGAAGTAGGCATGAGCATAGTATTTGGCCAGCGACTCACGTGGACCCCCGAATTATTCCACCCACTGAGACAATGGGACAAATGACAGCTCTCCAGGTGTCTCTCCACATTCTATGAAGTAGATACGGCAGTCCTCAATCCTCGCTGAAACTCAATATCAATACAGGGCTGAACATTCCATAGTAGGGGGGGACTTGTGATCACTGGCCAGTGGTCGCTCCCCTGCCTGGGAGCGCGCCCCCACGTTCGGCGACTGGTCCGAGCACTGCAGCAGCCGAAAGCGACCATGACGAAATAATGTTCCGCAGCTGAACCATCCTGGAGAAAGCTGCCAGAGCTCCACCACCGCACTGCACTTCCCACTCTCCTCTCCTCTCCCCTTTCCATTGACAACCCATTCCACGGTTCCGAACTAAGGTTGGTTTTCAGGAGCCCCGGTGACTTGATTGAACCTCCCGTTTCTCCCATCTAACACATTCCGTAGGAAATTATCATCCATTCCTCCTCCAACCATGTTCACTGCTCGTCGTCTCACCGCGGGTGTCCCTCGCGCCCTGTCCCAGAGGGCTCTCTTCCACAACACGGCCCCGGCTTTCGTTCAGAAGGGGGACGCCATCCCCAACCTGGACGTTCTGGTCGAGAACTCCCCGGGCAACAAGGTCAACCTTGCTAAGGAGCTCAAGGGCAAGGGTGTTATCATCGGTGTTCCCGCTGCCTTCAGTATGTGCCCCTGTCCCGGGCGAAAGAAAAAAAAAAAGGTTGATTCCATGTTGGTCAAATGCTAACTCTGCCACTTTAGGCCCCGCCTGCTCCAGCAGCCATGTCCCTGGATACATCAACCACCCCAAGCTTAAGGAGGCCGGTCAGGTCTTCGTCGTTGCGGTCAATGACCCCTTTGTGTAAGCTACGAATCACTGGCCAAGTCCCTCTTCGGTTGGGGGCTTTCCGGGCTAATTCAACAATAGGACCAAGGCTTGGGCTACTTCCCTCGACCCCGAAGGCAAGAGCGGCGTAAGTAACGCTTTTTCGTGTCCTAATTGCACGGGACAGGTCCCCCCAGTATCATTTATTAACGGCGCCATAGATTCGCTTCCTGGGTGACCCCTCCGGCCAGTTCTCTGAGGCCCTCGAGGTGACCTTCGACAGCGCTGCGATCTTCGGAAACAACCGCGGCAAGCGTTATGCGCTGACTGTTGAGAACGGAAAGGTCAAGGAGGCTTTCGTGGAGCCCGACAACATTGGCCTCAACGGTATGTCGCAAGCCAGCAATGTCAATCAGATTCGGTCCGGTACTAACAGCAAGTATAGTTTCTGCTGCCGAGAAGGTGTTGGGCTAAACAGGCCTAGCGCATCAGTACACACTTAAGCTGTTGTAAAATCTAGTATACAAAACATGACATGACAATAGATCATAATCTTTATTCCGATATACATCTATTTTTCAAAACCCATAGCCAGCGAATGAAAAATTGTAACCAGCCGCGTAAAGCCATAATCATCGAATAACCCAACGCCCAACTGCATGCCCATCAAAGGCATGCCAATACCCAGGATATATCTACCCCCGATTCCTCCACTGTCAGAGAAAGACAGGATTTAACCCTGATGCAGCGCCTGCCACTGCTCCGGGGTGTAGCACTTGGGCGTCCAGGCATGGATGGCCGCAATCTCGGCCTTCAGAGCCGCGTTAACCAAGCGATGGCGAGCAAGCATGGTCTTCTTCTCGAACTGCGGGGAGACAATCACAGCTTGGAACGCCTGTCCACAGCCACCTAGAGAGAACACCGTCAACATCAAGTCCTCATGATAGTATAAGAGCATGCCCGCGCGGAACACGCAATTAATCAGCACGGCTTTTCCATACCCGACAAGTCTTCGATCTCAACATGCTGCGCCTGCAGCTGGTCGATCAGCTTGATCTTCAGCGAGTCCGCTGTAACGCCCTGGGTAGCGTCGGCCATGGCTGCATTCACTGCCGCGAAGGAGCGCGCGGAGATCGAAAAGGGCGATTGGTGATGGACGGGGGTGCGGAGAAGATACCGGCAGCTTCTGCTCAACAGGGTAGTGGTGCGGGAGTACATCAAGCGCGGGCGGAATGGTCTTCTTGGGAGGGGTGGTGGATGGTCAATTAATTAGATATTATGGGGAAGGCGACCGGGTGACGTCCCAAGGGGCCAAGCGATTCTGATATTGCAGAGTGGGTTGCGGTGCGGTGATGCCTCTTCCGATGTAGGATGACGGAGTCCCTCGTGGATTCTGCTTTACCGTACCGTATGGGACGTATTGGTCAGCTGCCGGTGTGGCGGGTACGCGCTAGGCCGGAAATATGCTAGGGCGGTGTGGCGCCAGCTGCGCTTCGGCGTCGATCGTCTCGCCGAAGCTTCATCTGGTTTCACAATCGCGGGGTTCTTCTAGCTCAACGTCCCGCTCGTTCGCTGTCATCCCCGGCTTACGTCCTTCCCTCGAGAGGCTGTAGCGCAACACCGTGGTCTATGAACACCCTCGCCCGCCATTCCCGTCGCCTCTATTCCACAATGTCACAGCCCATCTCGTCGCCATTCACACAGGCAGTGGTGAGCTCTGTGAGGAAGCTGTATGTTTCTAAACCATCTACATCGATGCTCTCCCCCATTGGTCGCTGACACCGTCAACACAACATCAGGTACCCCGAGTCCTTGGCTGATAAGAACTTTGACAACACCGGCCGTAAAGCTCCCAACTACCAGCACCCATCCCTTCATTACCACAACCCCAACTAACTCCATCCCGCCAGTCCTCCTCGAAGCCCCCTTCAACCACACCCGCCGCCAGAAAAACTCCGTCCTCCTAGCAATCGATCTCACTACAGCCGTCGCCGATGAGGCAATTGCCCGCCGAGACTCCGTAGTCGTGGCATACCGTATGCAACCAACGAGCCAACCCATCCACTCATCCATCCGCCATCCACTGACACTCCCACCCCAGACCCGATCATCTTCCGCGGCCTCAAATCCCTCACGTTCAACGACCCCCAACAGTCATCCCTCCTCCGTCTCGCCCAAGAAGGCATCAGCGTCTACTCCCCCCACACCGCCATCGATGCCACCCCCGGCGGCATGGCCGACTGGCTCTGCGACATCGTGACAGGAGCCATCGCCCCGACCACCGACTCCAAGCCATCCGTCCAGAAGTCCTCCTCCGCCCACTACTCCCACCTCACGTTCCCGCAACCACAGTCCGCCTCATCCTCCATCCCCGTCCCCCACGTCCGAAACACCATCATCCCGTCTCCGCCGCCAGTCCCCGAAGGAATGGAATCAGCTGGAATGGGCCGCATCGTCACGTTCGACGAGCCACAGCCTCTCACCGCTATCGTGGATCGCATCGCCCAGGGCGTCGGCTACCCTGGCGGTATTCCTATCGCCATCCCGCAAACCGCCACGGTCGAGGATCTGAAGATCCGCACGGTTGGCGTGTGTCCGGGTTCCGGATCTAGTGTGCTGTTCAAGGCTCCCGGCGGCAAGCTCCCCGATGTGCTCTTCACCGGTGAATTGAGCCACCATGAGGCTTTGGCGGCTATCGAGCGCGGCTCGGTCGTCGTTGCGCTCGCGCACTCGAATACTGAGCGGGGATACCTGCGCGCCGTGATGCGGGAGAAGCTGGCGAGTGCGGTGCAGAAGGAGTGGGAGGCTCAACGGGCGGAGGGGCTGAAGGAGAACAGTGCTATGGATTTGAAACAAGCATTCGAGGATGCAGAGTGTATCGTTGATGTCAGCGATCGGGATCGTGATCCTTATGGTATCATGGTCCGCCAGGTTTAGGTTTAACTGCAGCTCTATACATAGAACCCACAGAGCAATGCACCTACACCATACTACTATATACATAACCAGAGCATACAAAGCAAAGCTCAACACAAGATAATATATACATTCACCCCATGCCAAGAAATCAGAAAGATATAGAACCACTACCACACACAAATAAACAAAAACAAGATCGATCCCCTAGACCTCCTCTCAACTCAACAAGACCCTAATCTCCCCAGTCGTCCGAGGGAACAACTTCCTCAACCCCCAATCCTTCTCTTCCGCTTCCTCATCCTCACCTTCGTTCTCGCCCTCGCCCTCACCCTCGCCCCGACTTTGACTCTCACCCCGAACAACATCCACCTTGCCCCTCGCTTCATCCGCGCCGATAATCATCCCCTCCACGAACTCGAAATCGCGACAGAACGCCTCCACCGCCTCCTCGGTGACGCTCTTGACGAACGTGGCGCTCTGCACGCGCTTCAAGTTATCCGTTGCGTCCATCAACGCGGACGGAAGGAAGTCGTCGAGTTGCTGGCTGATGGCGATGAGCGCGGTGGGTTGGAAGGCCGGGAGGGCGGTGATATCTGCGATGTTCTTTTGTTGCTGTTGCTGGGGTGTAGCGGAGGAGGAGGATGGGGAGAAGGGTTCCAGGGCTGTGAGGAGGGCTTGGAGGCCCGAGGAGGTGAGGAGATAGCGGTGTTGGATTTCGAGGAGGTCGATGCGCAGGGTGGAGAGGGCTGTTTGCAGGGGGGTGAGGTGGGTTGCGCTGGCGAAGGGGTAGGGGGCGATGGCGGAGCGGGTGGTGAGGTGTATGTTTGTAAGGTAGATAGTTTGGGCGGTGGTGTTGGGGAGGTCGGCGGCGGAGGACTTGGCCAGGTCCAGGAAAGGATTCAGGGCGGCGTGGAGGACCGGGGTGAATCTGTTTTCCTGGGAGAAGTCGTCGGGGGCGGCGGCGCCGAAGGAGGCTTCGTAGGTCTTCATGAGGGAGGTGAGGACTTCCAGGGCGTCTTGGAGGAATTCGGGGGCGGA